AGCAGAAAAAGCCAAAAGTACATTCCTAAAAATCCCGTAAGCCACAACCAAAGAAAAGGAGATTAAGAAAAGGGATCATGGGAATATAAGCCATATCATCATACCTGAATTTCACAAATTCACAAACCATTCCATCACACATGAAATGCAAATGCCCCCTTCTTCCTTTCCAACCCAACCTCACTAAAACCTTCATAACCATCACATTAACTTACAACACAAACCAACATCTCACTTCCTAACCTTCTCTTCCACATCAAACCTTCATCCTCTCAACTCACCCCATGCCAAAAATATGCACATCATACTACCATTCATCAATATACAAATCATGATTTACATCATAATCGTCATATCAAAACATCCAAACATAAAAAATAAAAAATAAAAAAATCAATCATATAAATCATACTTTCACATTTTCTCAAAGGAAAATAACATACTTGGCACAAATATAAGAAACCATTATATTCTCAACCCAAAACAATTAAATCAACATTATCTCATGCTTAACATCACAACTAAACTTTACAAACTAAGCATGCTTCACAACATCAAAATTTCCATGTAAGAAAGCACATAGAAACTCACTAAAACTATAGGATTTGTAATTTAAACTTTCCCTACCTCAATGAACCAAGCCAAACAAAGCCTAAGGCCTCCCAAAATTCGAAATCCTTCCAAATGCAAGCAAGAGTGGTCTTAAATGAAAGCCTATAATATGATAAGCAACTTTCTCTTCTTTGATCTTAGCCAAATCTCACTCTAAACCCCCAAAAAAATGAGTTAAAGTATGAAATATATATATAAGCATGCATATAGATTTAGAGAGAGAGGGAGAAGACTAGAGAGAGAGAAAAACCAAAAATGAGGAGGAAAGGGGTGGGCTTGGCTTGTCTTCAAATTATTTCCAAGGCCAAAAATGTGCCATATATGTCAAAATTTGGTAGGGTTACTAATGTGTGCAAGTTACCATCATAACCTTGTCCTTCCTCTACAATTCTAACCTTTTCCAATAAATATCTTCTCTAATGCATAGCTACACATATATGTATATGCATGTGAAATGATTACAATGCCCCTCACTTAAAATGAGAAAACCGGGAAAAGTTCCTGAGTCCGAAAATCGTCCCAACTTCAGAAAAATTATAAAAATAGTCCCGTCACCTCTAAATAACTTAAAATAATTAAAATACACTTCTAAAACTCTAGACTTAAGAAAATGACCAAAACAACCCTCGAGGCTCGCATGGCACGCAAAACAAGGAGCAAAAAAAATAAAATAAATAAATAATTCGAAAATAAAAAAATCCGAGAAATTGCAAAAATGGAAAAATGGGAAACGTCACAAAAATTATGTTGCTTCACCTATTGTAGTTGAAAAATATGAAGTCAATGATATGAAAACATTAATTCCTTTGCACGAGTTGGTAGATACAGAAAAGTGCCTTATCACAACAAAAAAAGAAGATGGAGACAAGGAGTTTGATGTTAAAATTGAATAACAAGAATTAATTGATGATCAGCGGGTTAATAATTTTTGCAAATCAGATGTCCAAGATGGTATGAAAGAATTCGGGTTTCAAGTTGGTAAAGTATCATTATTTATGCAAATTATAACTGAAGAATTATTTATTCCGGAAGGTGCCAATGAAAATACTTTGGAGTCATGCTTTGTAAGGTTCTCATGGAAATGAAAAAGTATGATTATGTGGTAGGTGAGACTTCATGTTGTTTGCAGCCAAACTCCAGGACGAGTTTTTTTTAAGTAGAGGGGATTGATATAGGACAGAATTCTCAAAAGTTTGACAAGTAGTTCAACAAGTCCGTTTTTGACAAACTAATAGTAATTTTTGGGTAAAAACAACATATTGAGAAAAATCCACTAGAATTAGCTTGTGAGCTATGTTAGTTTTCGGCTAAAAACCTTCGTTTAAGGCTTCAAAATAGCGTTTTATCGTCTTATACGAGAATGCTAATTATTTAGGGATTTTTGTTCAATACTTTAATGAACTCGGATTACTTTAAAATTTTAGATTTAGCATTTGTTATTTATTAGGTTTCTTATTCTATTTTTTCGAATTTTTTAAAGACAATTTATTTGTATACTTTTTCTAGGATTAGTTTCCTTAAAGGATTAAATTTTAGTTTCTTTCTAGTGGTAGGTTTTTTTCATTATTAATATCAATGTATTGCAAGAACAAAATTTAACATTTTATCAATAATATTTCAGAATTCTTTATAAATTTATCTCATATTTTGTGGATTCAAAACATCATACTTTGTGGATTCAAAATACCAAAATTATCTCACCCACATTATTAAATTATTTAACTAAGCCCTTACATTATTATTTGATATAAATTATCATTTATACCATATATCGATGTATGTTGATTAATATGTATTGATGTATGTTGATTTTTATTCTTTTTTATTTTTTTATTCTGGCTTTACGATGAAACAACACTATACAAAAAAAACATATGATAGAAACCAACCAAAGCCATCATAAGACATGGACGCAAAGATTCTACAATCACACAGCATTCCATGGCCCAACCAAAGCAAAGGCCCATAATCAACTGGTAAAAATTAATTGCAGGCCACAAATATGGTTTTAAAACTGAACCGAATTGAACATCGGCCCATTTAACATGTCCACCGTTGATTAACATGTGCAAGTTTGAAAGAAATGATTTTGTTGTATCTGATTAGCGAGACTTGGATTAGAAATCTCCAGCACAGAAAGACTCGATAGTCAATCAGTTACAATAAGATTCTCCCAACAATGAGACGTCAACAGTCAATCAACTACACTAACATTATCCCTAACAGTGACACATCCAACAAGCATCTCTCACCACCACCAAACACCTGGAACAAAAGTTGTCTTCTTTATTAAAGCAACATCGGACTGAAGGAACTTTTCAAAAAAAAAACATCGGACTGAAGAATCTTTAATCATGGGAACAAACGATCTTAGCCGATTACCTATCACTTTTTTTTTTTTTTTTTTTTTTTTTACCTATATATATATACATATATATATATATATATTTTAAGACTATCACTTGAACTGCCTATAAAAAAAACCCTCTAATATTTGTATTTTGGAGTAAGTAAGCGCCAACACCTGCAAGTATTAACTTTAGAACAGTGTGCAGTCATCTCTCAATCTCGAAGGCAAGTTTTCATCCCTCTTAAAATAATTAAAATACACTTCTAAAACTCTAGACTTAAGAAAATGACCAAAACAACCCTCGAGGCTCGCATGGCACGCAAAACAAGGAGCAAAAAAAATAAAATAAAATGAAATAAATAAATAATTCGAAAATAAAAAAATCCGAGAAATTGCAAAAATGGAAAAATGGGAAACGTCACAAAAATTATGTTGCTTCACCTATTGTAGTTGAAAAATATGAAGTCAATGATATGAAAACATTAATTCCTTTGCACGAGTTGGTAGATACAGAAAAGCGCCTTATCACAACAAAAAAAGAAGATGGAGACAAGGAGTTTGATGTTAAAATTGAATAACAAGAATTAATTGATGATCAGCGGGTTAATAATTTTTGCAAATCAGATGTCCAAGATGGTATGAAAGAATTCGGGTTTCAAGTTGGTAAAGTATCATTATTTATGCAAATTATAACTGAAGAATTATTTATTCCGGAAGGTGCCAATGAAAATACTTTGGAGTCGTGCTTTGTAAGGTTCTCATGGAAATGAAAAAGTATGATTATGTGGTAGGTGAGACTTCATGTTGTTTGCAGCCAAACTCCAGGACGAGTTTTTTTTAAGTAGAGGGGATTGATATAGGACAGAATTCTCAAAAGTTTGACAAGTAGTTCAACAAGTCCGTTTTTGACAAACTAATAGTAATTTTTGGGTAAAAACAACATATTGAGAAAAATCCACTAGAATTAGCTTGTGAGCTATGTTAGTTTTCGGCTAAAAACCTTCGTTTAAGGCTTCAAAATAGCGTTTTATCGTCTTATACGAGAATGCTAATTATTTAGGGATTTTTGTTCAATACTTTAATGAACTCGGATTACTTTAAAATTTTAGATTTAGCATTTGTTATTTATTAGGTTTCTTATTCTATTTTTTCGAATTTTTTAAAGACAATTTATTTGTATACTTTTTCTAGGATTAGTTTCCTTAAAGGATTAAATTTTAGTTTCTTTCTAGTGGTAGGTTTTTTTCATTATTACTATCAATGTATTGCAAGAACAAAATTTAACATTTTATCAATAATATTTCAGAATTCTTTATAAATTTATCTCATATTTTGTGGATTCAAAACATCATACTTTGTGGATTCAAAATACCAAAATTGTCTCACCCACATTATTAAATTATTTAACTAAGCCCTTACATTATTATTTGATATAAATTATCATTTATACCATATATCGATGTATGTTGATTAATATGTATTGATGTATGTTGATTTTTATTCTTTTTTATTTTTTTATTCTGGCTTTACGATGAAACAACACTATACAAAAAAAACATATGATAGAAACCAACCAAAGCCATCATAAGACATGGACGCAAAGATTCTACAATCACACAGCATTCCATGGCCCAACCAAAGCAAAGGCCCATAATCAACTGGTATAAATTAATTGCAGGCCACAAATATGGTTTTAAAACTGAACCGAATTGAACATCGGCCCATTTAACATGTCCACCGTTGATTAACATGTGCAAGTTTGAAAGAAATGATTTTGTTGTATCTGATTAGCGAGACTTGGATTAGAAATCTCCAGCACAGAAAGACTCGATAGTCAATCAGTTACAATAAGATTCTCCCAACAATGAGACGTCAACAGTCAATCAACTACACTAACATTATCCCTAACAGTGACACATCCAACAAGCATCTCTCACCACCACCAAACACCTGGAACAAAAGTTGTCTTCTTTATTAAAGCAACATCGGACTGAAGGAACTTTTCAAAAAAAAAACATCGGACTGAAGAATCTTTAATCATGGGAACAAACGATCTTAGCCGATTACCTATCACTTTTTTTTTTTTTTTTTTTTTTATATATATACATATATATATATTTTAAGACTAACTATCACTTGAACTGCCTATAAAAAAAACCCTCTAATATTTGTATTTTGGAGTAAGTAAGCGCCAACACCAGCAAGTATTAACTTTAGAACAGTGTGCAGTCATCTCTCAATCTCAAAGGCAAGTTTTCATCCCTCTTATTGAATTTAACTTTACTTTTATTTATATTATTGCAATCATATTATTTATTATGTTCAACTTCGTTTGTTTGTGTCATTATCAATCAAATGATGTTCATTCTACTTGTTGATATTATTGTATTAGTTATTTCATTATTAAAAGTATTATATTTGTATTCGTGTTGGTGTTGTGAATTTTGTCCTTAATGTCTTTTATTAAATGTGAAATTCTCTTTGCATCGCATTCCATCAAGTACATGTCAATTTATAGATTGAGAATTCTTGTATGTAAATTTGATAAATTTCTCCAACATATACCATATATTGCCTTTGTCCTCTTTTTGGGTTTTTTAGTCAGACATGTGTTTTATAATATGGACTTCAATAGTAATTTTATGCCATCTTTATGGAATACTTTTGAATTTATTTATGAATCAAATTTTAGAAAAATAAAAAAAACTAGAAAGTTTTGAAGAAAAACCTAACAAGTGATTTTCCTGACGGATGACCAAAGAGAGGACTAATTTAGATAAAAGAATTAAAATGAAGGACAATTTCGTAATTTTATTATTAAAAACTGACTTGGAGTGCCACTGTGTCGGAGACCTTTTGTTTTTTTATAGTGCCGGAGTCTAAATTGCTCCCTACATGTTAATAATTTTATATAAAATAAGAAAGAATTAATTTCAAAACTTGATTAGTTAATAATTGGAGGAAATAAAAATAACATAAAAAATTGTATCAATTAAAGGGTAATAAAAATGTTCTTTTCACCAAATAGTCTAATTGAATTAGTAAATTAGTTTAGTAATTAAAATGTTAGTGGATTTAACTTGGAGTAGAATTCATTCTCTGACATTAATAAGCGGTGCTGCTCTCACCGAAGGCGGTGGACCAACTTATTTTTTTGATGCATTGTAGTTACATTTCAATGCATCGTTGGATATAAATCAATCAATGAATCACTTTTTATTGTTAAGTTTCAAATACATTTTCCTTTATAAATTTATTCAACTTAATTTTCTTTTTCTTTTTTTACCTAAATCGAAACCCCTCACCTATTTCCATGTTCTCAAATTTCAACAATTAGATGCATATATATATATATATATATATATATATTATTGAAGTGGTCCCATGCTAAACCATTTGATGGTTATAAACGTTTCGGTTTATGTAATAGGATTGTTCTTCAGTCAGAGAATTATGATTATTTTTTGAAAAACTAAAAAGTTAAATCAAAGAGTAATGATAGGAGAGTAAAGATTGATGTTGTGTATTAATGATATTACTGGTGTGTATATTTATATACTGTATAATGTATATATTTGGAAGGTGTTCTTTGTGAAATAGTAAACCATTTACTTATGATCAACTTTGATGGTAAATGAATTGCTCTTCTTATTATACTGTATTCATTCTCCCAAAATAGTCGTTAATTCTATGATATTCATCTTTTGAATCCTGGTGGATTATTTCTCTTCTGTTATATTTTTATTACAGACTGAAAACATGAAAATGATCAACTTTTTAATGGGTGATGGAAAAGTTGTGGAAACAACACTCATAGATGAAGCCAAGCTAAAAAGAAGGTGCCTCAATTCAGATGACTCAGATGAACAATATGAAGAAGATGAACACCAATATTATGATTCAGATGAGGAAGATGAATACCCATCGTACCAGTCAGATGAAGCCAAGCTAAAAAGAGGCCTTGATCGACTTTGGGCTTGTTTAATGAGAGAGGGAAATCAAAAAATCGTCGGATTTGATCTCCAATGGAGGAACTTGGGAGATATATTAAAATCGAAATTGCATTTGGTGTTGTGCACAAATGTTACTTGTGTCATCATAGATTCAAAGTATCTAGGTTACGAAATTCTGAAGAATTTTCTTGCTCTCAAGGATGTAACTTTTGTTGGAATCCATATTGGTGATGACCTTGTTAGGCTTAAGAATCTCCATGGAATTGTGTTCAGAAATGTGGTCGACATTAGTGAGCACGCAGCTAATATTTTCGAGAGACCTAGGTATAAATCATGCAGTTTATCAGAATTGGCTGATGAAGTGAGTGGTCTGGAGCTGAAAGAGAAGCCAGCAAGTGTTGCTTATCATAATCTGAGCAAGGAGTGTGCAGCAATTGATGCTTATGCTTTATTCACTATTGGGAAGAAGTTGCTTGGAAGAGTTATGGGTGCTTTAAAATACTGAATAGTGTCGTTTTCATTTGGGCTGTGTGCTTTGTAGACTGATCTGTCTTTAAATATTTTGCTTCCTTTTGAATGAAACTACTCTCTCATTATTATTATTATTATTATTATTATTATTATTTGGTGGTGAATGGCATGAATTTATTTGAGGGCAAACGAGTTTATTTTGGAAATCAACCAATGATTTATACTTATTATATTTTTTCATGTTTTATATACTGAATGTTTTATTTGCGATAGTAATATATATTTTTTTTAGGTCTCTCTTTATTGCTTATGGATATAAAGAATAAAAAACAAAAATTGTCCTGTCTTTAGGTTTTGTTAACTTTGCTCTAACACCACTTTTTCTTAAGTCAACTATTAAAAATCCAAAAGTCAATTATTTTAAAAATAAAATGTCAAAATTACCCTTCTCACCACTTAATTCAATTTTTATTTGGACACAAGTGCCAACCTAAATTAACTAAATATACATACACACATAATATATGACTGACTATATATACAAAAATATACAGTTCAGTCCATCTCCACCATCCTAAATTAACAATATATGATTGTTGTGTGTTAGTTTGATTGCTTCTTCTATGTACTAATATGATGATATCGAAGGTGAAGAAACAAACCCAAATTTGATTTTGGCTCCAAAATTTTGTTTTCAACCAATCACCACCGTTATACATACATATATGTGTATATATATATACCTTACAGAGAGAGAGAGAGATGTACAGTTATCATATCAGTTATCATATCAATGCCTACAAGTAGAACTCTTGGTCACCGGTACAAGGCGTGGATGAGGCGGAGGCGCTAACACACTAAGACCTATATCTATGGACAAGAGGCTACTAAGGACTATATTTCTATTATTATTCAGATATGCATTAAGAGAATATGAAAGGTGTATGGTAGTTAAAAAAATAAAAAATAAAATAAAAAGGTTTGCCGAAGATGGATCAAAGGTTGTTAGATAATTTACCTGGGCCTCCATTACGCCATCAATAAGCAATGCGGTGACACTGTTTTGAAGTCATTTTCGTTGACGGCCTCCGAATGTGACACATCATCTTCCTATGAAATTAGGGTTAGGATCACCACAGTATATACCACATATGTGCTGAACAAAATCCCAAACACAAGAGGAGAAGCTGCATTTGAAGAACAAATGCTCGTGATCTCAACCTCACTCGAGCATAGAGAATAAAGGTTAAAGTTATAAGTAGGAGCATAGACGGATATGCCCTTGTGTAGAGTCTATAATGCGAGAGCAAGCCAAGTGATAAAGGCATGTCTAGGAATATGTTTAGAAAACCAAACTATGCTATTCCATCTAGATAGAGGAGCAAGAGGAAGTTAAGTGCATTGTAAATGTGCTTCAAATGGAACAGTCTTGTAGGTAATGTTAGAAATTTGATGTGAATGGAAGTTGTTAATCAATGAGTCTCTAACTGGAGTGGTGTTCTTCACACGTAATTCAACGTGGTTGAGGATGGGTTGGAAAGTAAGGATAACATGATGACCATATTTGTGAGTTTGGGTTATAAACGTGGACAGAACATAATATGTTGTAGCAACGTGAATTTATGGTGTGAATGGTTATCGATACAATTTGTGAAGAGACGTGACAGTTGTACGTTGAACCATTGCATCTGATGGTGGTAAACATGCAAGTGACGTGACTGTTAAAGAAGTAAAAGTCACTTAGTTAATCTGGAAAGGTGCGATATAATGAAGAGAGGCAACCAATCCAACAGACACCACTTTTGTCTATGCAGAGACATGACCAATTCGAGAGACACCACATTTTCTATAAATACCCCAGGCTGTTATCATTTTCAATTCGTACAATTTTCCATTCTTCTCTCCCTCTCTCAACTTGAACCCAACCCAAGTAGGTGTGGGTTTAAGCCATGGTCAAGTGGTCTGAGCCACTTAGGCCCAAAACCAATTTCATTGAGCCATATTAAATTTGGTCCGAGCCATTTGGTTCGGATTGCATCCAATTCATTATTTATATAGTATAGATGCATTTTTGAGTCAGAGAGAGTATTACACGGAGAAGGTTCGTCGTATCTACGAGTTTGTAGTACTGCTACTGGTGGATGTAGACCATTGTATCCTGGGAGATAGACGCCACTGAGTCCGTTAGTACCATAGCGGGGCGAATCTGTCTTAAGGACATAGTATCCAATACTAGTCTCGGTCCAAGTTCTTTATTTAGTATTTATTATTTATTATTTATTATTTATTATTTTATTATTTTATTTTACATATTTAATTAAATATATAGTTGCATATTTAATTAATCATTTCTTAGCATATTGTTAATTATCTCATAGCATATTAGTATAATGGTTGTTATATCTTAAATGTCACATGAAACATATATTTTTACCAACAATCTTAAGACAGACTCCTTCCTTGCATAGATTTATTATATGTTTCTATTTAAGATATAAACAAGTAGATATTATACTAATAGTTGAGATATGATAAAATAATGTTATATACATTTTTATATGATAATATGTTATTAATGCATTCAATGTTATGTGAAATTAAAGCATGTTATATTACTAAATTATTGAATTATTTATATAATTCAATATTGGTTGAATTATTTTAATTTTGTAATATAATATTATGTAGTATATTATATTATCTTAAATTTGTGCCAACTAGAGATAGGAAAAGGTATTTCATTCTTTTTATCAATGATTGCACAAGATGATGTTATTTATATCTGTTACGTAGCATGATAAAGCCTTAGAAATGTTTAAACATTACAAAAATGAGGTTGATAATCAACTTGACAAGGTATTAAGAAATGATAGAGTTCATGAATACGAATCATCATTTGCTGATATTTATTCAGAACATTATATCATTCACGAAGAAATGATGAATGCTATGTTGACAAGTTCTGATTTAACTCAGAATTTGTGGGGGAAAGTTTTGCTTTCCGCAAATTATGTTATCAATAAAATACCTCAAAAGAAACTAATGTGACATCATATAATTATGGAAAGGTTAAAAACCTTCCTATAAATTCTTAAAAGTGTGGGGGTGTCTATTTAAGGTTGTAGTTCCTACTCCTAAGAAAGTTAAAGTGGAATCTAAAATGTGATGATCTTATAAGTGGGTGTGTCGTCGATGGGTGCAAGAGGCACCGACAGGCTACCACACTAGGCGATTTACAGGTGCACAGTCTCACATCGCCTAGGTAAGGTAAGTGTGAAGTGCTTTTATGTGGTGGAGTGAATCATTACATAAAACATTTGATAGGTTATACTCATAACAATATTGCATATCATTTTCTTATGCATACAATGAAAATAAGGATGAACTTAGACGTAGCAAGAGGGTTAGAACGTCTAAATCTTTTGGTCCTGATTTTCTAGCATGTTTTTTGGAAAATGAGCCATAAATATTTTTTCTTAAATTAAACATGTGATATAATATGAAACTATATTGTTATGAATATTATTTTTATAAATGTTTACTTTTATTTGATACTATAATATTGAACTATGTAGTTGAATTACTTAATGTGCATTGTAATTCAAATTTACAACGTAATTTATTTAATATGTGATATTATTGAATTTTGTATGAATTCATGACTGGTTTGTATATATAATACAACAAACAAAAATTGACTAGTCCAACTATGTCAATTCTCTCGATAGTCAAAGGAAAAAAGATCTATACTAGTGTTTAAAACACATATAGTTGTGAATGGGCTGACTAAGAGAAGATTTTCCAATAACTTTAAAGAGTTTATGGAAAATGTTATGGATACACTAAGCAAGTACACTGAGACATGCTAAATCAAGCTAGTCAGCTCTGGTGTACAATTTAGCTAAAAGCTAAAATGTTACTGAGTTGCAAACTAGTTAGATTAGCTACAAGTTAAAATGATTAATGAGGTGCACAGAACCTAAGAGGAAGATGAAAAACTGTCAGTTGGTTCTAGCTCTTAACTTGATAGTAAAAAACACGAGGGTAATGAATAGTTAATTTAGCCATAAGCTATTTGAGTTATTCATCATATCTGCTCATGTAGGAGAGAATAATACTACTTGTAAAGTAATAGTTTTTGAAGAATATTCTTCAAAACAAATTATTCTACTACCAAGGTAGACTACTTAGATAAGTGTGTACTAAAGCTATGAACTACTAGAATTGATAGCTAAACAAACTTAACTTCAAGCTAGTGGTAATAGCTGAAAAGTGGGTGCTCATCATAACCTAGTAGTGAGATATGAGAAGAGTGTACTTAATCTAAGCTAGTAATGATAGTTAAGAACTCACTTTTAACTAGTAATGATAGCTGAGAAGTGAGTACTCATTCTATAGTGATTGTATCCAAAGCTTAAATAATAAGATAATTATTTGCTTAAATGATTGAGTTATGTGATGTGTGACACATGAAAGGTTATAACATGTTAATATGACTGACTTAACATGAACCTAAATATGAATAACTCAATTTATAAATATAAAAGATGTAAAAGCAAATATTAATTAGAGCCCATTGTAATTAATATCTTTAGCATTAATTCACGGTAATGTCGGTGAATTATTATAAGAATATGCTAGAGATAAAGTGAGTACATATGTACTAGAGACTGTTATATATGCTTGTTGAGAAGCGAATATAGAACCTTGGAAAGGTAGATGAGGTGAAATATTTAATATATGGTATTTCAAGAGTTGGAAAACCATAAGAAATATATCATATATAAAATTTCAAGATTATCCCAAAGTTGTGGGGGGATATTATCCATAGATAAAATTTGCTATGAGTTATATCACCAAATAAGAAATACTTATAAATGTAGGGTTATTAATCCTAAGAAATTTTGGATAGAACCAAAAATCAGTTATAGTATTATAACAATAGTGCATGTTGTTTCCTATGAGGAAAATATTATGGAACAACTAGAAAGTTCCTTTTCCAACGGAAGAGCTGAGTTATTTGTTCTAGTTGAAGAGTAAAGTGTGCAAGCTTATAAGTCCTTGAGTGGATTAAAGCTAGTACCAAGACAATGACATAAATGTGATGTATAAGTCATTGTATGCCTTAAAAAAATTAATGATATCCTAATTA